GTGCTGGTTGTGGTGATGGTGGTGGTTGTGGTGATGGTGGTGGTTGTGGTGGTGGTGGTGGTGCCTACATTATACATACAAGTGCACACTGTGTGCATGTAGACGTACCTCCATTCTGTCCTTCAGTGCACTGGGAATGGATGCAGTAGTGTTGGCAGTTGCAATAAATAACACCTAGAAATACAGACATGTACACACACATGTGCAAAAGCGTGCACAGACAAGATCGAAAAAGGACACACATACAGACAGATACACCATCTGAACTCTTGAACAGAAAGAAAAAGCAGAATAATAGAATATCAATCAAAGAACGCGAAGGGTGGTAAAAGAACCTAGGGTTTGTATACAAGTACATGGACTACAGAATGCAGCTGGTTCTTCAAGCACAGTATCAAATGAACATTACACCAAGTCTTGGCATGCCTAAACGTCCCTGACTTTCAGGCTCACCTGAGACAAGTCAAATGGAACGGTCAAATAGCTGGTACGATGCAGGCGATCTGGTCAAGGAAACATTTGCAGCATGAAAACTTAAAAAAAATTATGCTACAAACGCCTAGCACGTTGTACACTGGTAAGCTGGTAACCAGTAGGACTGCTACTCATCAACACAAGCACACGATGCTATCGTACAGCTACAGCGTAGATCTACCAAGGCAAGTCAAGTTCATGAGCACACATCCAAGATCCTACATAAGACTCCTGTCCTGCCGCACTCCCGTATTCGCGGCCAGCAATACACACAATGCTTTGTCATACATAGTTCCTCGCCCTCGTCAATACAAGGCATTCAGTACTGTCGAGTGCTGAAGAACGAACGGGCTAGGATTTCACCAAGCACAGCATACCAGTGTATACACGGCGACTCAACTGTGAATAGATTGCAGTACATAAAAATAAGAACGGCCTAGGCTAGGAGGCTGACCATTCAGTTCTTCGACACCCGACAGCACTGTACTGTCCAAGCTAAAGGACAATTAAATACGTAGATCATCGACTCCGTTCCCGAGGGAACTCACGGCGAGGGAACACCATTAACTTAATGCACTGCATACACAAGACAACATTAATGCACCATGCTGTACACATGATTGAGAGAGTAAGGATACTGATCGGTGAAGGAGTTATTCTGCTCAGAGTCCAGTACTTCCAGCAGTGCAGCAGCTGGATCACCACGTACACTGCCTCTAGTCTGAATACAGAGAGGAGAAGTAGATATGCATCATCGTTAACCCACCAGTCAAGAATATACAGTATGGGGGCATTGCCTAAGCTAAAGGCTCCCATCCTTCCACCACTGATGTTTATGCAGATGGTCAGATAATGGTGTTGAAGTGGCCAAGTCTAAGCAGTGTGTTCGAAGTAGCCCAGTGGAAAGGACGTAGCTCAGAAAAACAATGCTGTGCCTCCACACAAACAAAAAGGCTACTTGCACAAGTTTACCAGCAAGGGATTATAATGAACACACACGAAAAGGTACGCACGCACGCACGCACGCACGCATACACACACACACACACACACACACACACACACACACACACACACACACACACACACACACACATACAAACACACACTGCGATCATAAAGAGCAATCAGAGTAAATGCCGCCTTATCCAATGAAGGATATATACTACTTACTACTTAGCGAGAGTCAAAGCACAGACCACCAGTCTACCACACTTACAAGCTTGTCAACCTCATCCAGTAAGAACACTGGATTATTCACACCGACTGAACGCAGTCCCGATATGATACGACCCGGCATCGAACCAATGTAGGTCCGGCTGAACAGCACACAGCACACATGCATGTACACACATAAATACCTCAATTGGAGAAGCAAACAAAGAGCTGAACCGTTGGAAAGTGAACAGAATAAATGAGTACATAAATTGTAGCTCAGGCTGCGCACACACTACTCAGTAAACAAATGTCTACACTCTACAGTCCACAGTCAGTCAGGACGCAAAGACACAGCAACTGCATGCTGTTCACAACCTGGATACGAGAAATCGCCTCATCCAGAAAGGGGTCAATTGCTGGATAGAATACTTTGAAGTATATTTATAGCATAAGGCAGTACGGAGACTCCCTCGATTTAGGCTAAGGCCTGTGCAGAATCCATAAATACAAATACAAAAAAATAGTACAATGTAGTTCAATGCAGTACATGTACAATGGTGCCCAATGAAATCCAATCGAGTGAGTCAGAGTTGCACCCTGCACCAGTGAAGAGCCCAGCGTTTGCATATCTAGGGCTGCGCAGCACCAGGCGCATACTTACCTCACACGATTGGATTGCATTTAGCAGCACTGCACAAGGCAGTACAATGCAGTACGCCGTTGGGAGACTTACCGATGACCCCGGATATCAGCTTCGTCACTGACACCACCTAGAGATACCCTAAGACATTGCAGAGAACACAACGTGGTGAAGACAGTGGCTACACAGAGCAGCAGGTGTAACAAGGCTCATGACAGGTCTACAATGTCAAACATTTGCTAGTTATTACGAATGTCTGGACTAAACAGGCAAGCAAGGATTCAGGTTGGATTGCTATCCCTGGTTATTTGGTCTTGCTTGGCTCTTGTGCTATCTTCTTTCCCATTCCGTTTAAAAGTCTTCTGACCGTTTGAGCCAGAGCACACTGGTATAAAGAAATGCTTCACATTAGACATTTGTTGACAAAACACAAGTTAGGGGAGTCTAAGTGCGGAACACAAAGTCAAGATAACACACACACACACACACACACACACACACACACACACACACACACACACACACACACACACACACACACACACACACACACACACACACACAACACACACACACACAACACATACACACTGCCTTCATGGCATCGGCAGTGGATTTGGCACAGTGCAATACCTGCAGAGCCCAGTGTCACACACCGATCTCGTATGTACAGAGAGTACGTCTAACACACCACGCCGCTCCGTACTCACCGGTGGAATGACCGGCCAATGCTGGTGGCTATGCTCCGCGCTACACTGGTCTTTCCAACGCCGGGTGGTCCGACCAGACACAGGATAGGACCTGAATGTCACACACCAACACCAACATCAACAACAACATGCGGAAACTAATCATAGCGCTCTGCAAGGAGAAAGGGCAACTAAGCACCGAATCACCAAAGCGGCTGCTGCCTAACACTACATTGTCAGGAGGATGCAGCAGTTGTAAATAAATACATGGGTGTAAACTACCGGTAATATTCCAACATGTCCATGGACAAACATGCTGTGAGAACGTGGATAGCAGCAAAGGAAGAATAACAGAAACAAAAGCTAGAGTATTGATAGCAACAACACACTTTGAAGACAGCTCACCACGCAGACTACTCTTCAGTTTGCGAACGGCCAGATACTCCAGAACTCTCTTTTTAGTCTTCTCCAAGCCGTAGTGATCAGCATCCAGCTGTTGCCTGACAATGCACCAGGACAACCATATAGTGGGGAGAAAGAAAATAAGGGAGAGAGTGTGTGTGTGTGTGTGTGTGTGTGTGTGTGTGTGTGTGTGTGTGTGCACATGTGCGTGTGTGTGTGTGTGTGTGTGACAGAGATTGAGAGAGAATGAAAAAGAGAGAGAAAGATGTGTACATGTCCTCAACACACACTGCACATGATAATCCTCTGTTTTCGCTATCCTCCCAGTGAAAAGATGGCAACTCTACATAAAGCCTAAAGGCGGAAATAATCCAGAACATACTTTCTCTAGGCTGATTGCGCAATGCACAGCGACCGACACACAGCAACAAGACCTGCATGCACCGCCATACCTTGCCCTACTAATATCCAGGTGGTCTTCTGATGAACGAGACCATGGGAGATCAACAAGCAGCTCCAGGTAGTTCCTACATGGCACACAGGTATTCAGAGAAAACAGCACACAAAACACCATGGTTACTACAGGAAAAGAGAGCACACAGTAGCACACAGTAGCACACAGTAGCACACAGTAGCACACAGTAGCATCTTAAAGGATAAGAAGAACATGATACACTGAACCAGCACAGAAGAGAAAGCCAGTCCTTCCATACAGTGTGTGTGTGTGTGTGTGTGTGTGTGTGTGTGTGTGTGTGTGTGTGTGTGTGTGTGTGTGTGTGGATGGATGGACGACACCAGGTTGCCAAAGCAGATCCTGTTTGCGGAGGGCACTAACACGCGGCCCCGCCATGGACCCAAGCGTCGTTGGAGAGATGTGGCAGCTTCAGACCTGCGTGCGACCGGTATCCCGGAGACGCAATGGTACCACCTTGCTCAGGACCGGAGGGACTGGCGCGAACGTAGCCGTCGGATGCCACCAAGCCAGCCCCAACCAAGAGTGTTCGTCTGTGTCTGCGGCCGCGACTTTCGCCGTCCGAATGATTTATCCCGACACAAGAACTACTGCCTCGCCTAATAGCTATCATCGCCTTCGGCGATGGGCTTTCCAAAGGTCCAAAGGTGTGTGTGTGTGTGTGGCCATGGTGACTCAATCTCTGCTGTTCATGGGCAAATCTCAGAGTGACTGAACAAAGTAATTGCAATGAAGTATAGTGAATAACAAAGTAAGTTTATAAATCAGCTTTCAAGGCCATACCGGGCACAAGCTTGCAGGAACTCTCATTGTTCACGATGCAGCGAACTCGTGCGTAACCAGATAGAGCGATTACACATAGCACAGCACCACACAACACCACACTGCAACAGCAAGCAAGCTACCTGAGCACAGCATGTTCAGGATGCACCGACGGCATTCGTTTCAATCTCTACACATAAGCACACAAGCACATAAGCATGGATGTATAAGCACGGAATTTCATTTTAAGCACACATGTGCACACACGTACACACAGACACATGGGTGCACACACGCATACACACACACACACACACACACACACACACACACACACACACACATACCGTAAAAGCCCGTGTATAGGCCCCCGGGCGTATAGAATAGCAGCCTCGATTTCCTGGGCGTATACAAGGGCACGGGCGTTATTTTGGAACCGGGCGTATACTTGGAATTGGGATAGCAGTAAGTATTGGGTATCAGTACCTGTACATGTACATGTACTGGTGTTTCCGGCATACCTGGGCGTATACATAGGCATGAGCGCTATTTTGAAACAAAAGTGCTGTCTTCCCCTGACTGGGCGTGTACACGGAGGGTGGGCGTTATTTCGAGTGGGCGTATACAGGGCCTTTTACGGTACCGGTACATACATACATACATACACACATACACTTGCATGCACACTGAAGCTAAAACACAAACCTTCAGTTCCTTTGTGGCAGCCTTCATTGCAGTCTTGGGAAGATTGGCATCTCTATCAATAAGAACACAGTAGAATGGGACACAGAAACTCAACACAGCACACCTCAGTGCAGTCATGATGCCCACAGACAGCAGAGACTACAAACTATGGTCACTGTGCTACAACTAATGAAAACAACTCATGCAAGATGAACTAGTCAAAATCCTCCGTATTGGGCACACGAGCGCAGCAACATATCTCCCGCCTGACCGTTGGCACTTACTGCAGACGCTGTTCGAGCTCTTCAATTTCTTCCATGTCACTATTGATCAGCCGTGAGAGCGCACCCTGGGATCTCTGTGGTGTCGTGGCACTTTGATCGTTGTCCTGCAAGCGAGGAATGCACAGAAGAGAGGCTGGAAAACGTCAGCATTTTGTACTGTAAAAAGGTCTACAAGCATGCTGTGATAAAAGCCCGAGCACATGCATACATCTGCATCAATGCTGCACTGTATCTCCAAGCGGTTCGGGAACAGAACCGAGAACAGCCAGTGTAACCTTACAGGATACATGACAAAACAGCCTTCCTGGCATGAATGGTGTGCCTTTTGTCCAACAAAGCTTGCTCGATGAACTAACTGTCATACTGCCTATGCTGGAAAGCATGACGACAAAGACCAGCAGATAAATCCCTGTGAGTGTGAACAGCTAGTCTGCAGAATAAAGAACCCAGCCAGTACATTTCCATGCACATGTAATGCCTTGGCCAGCAGCAGCAGTAGCCACATCAGCAGCAGCAGCACCAGCAGAAGCAGCAACAACAACAGCAGCAACACCACCAGCAGCACCAGCACTAGTAGCATGAGCAGCAGTAGCAGCAGCCTGCAGTGACAATAGAGAGCAGAATACATGTGGCAAGGTAATGCTACTAACCATCGTATTGGAATGATCAGAGCGACGAACCGTACCGGTAGCTTCGGGAGACTGAAGAGACATGAACATATGAGTACACACATACACACACACACACACACACACACACACACACACACACACACACACACACACACACACACACACATACATGCATACATACATACACACACACACGCACACATACACACACACACGCACACATACTTGTACTTGTTGCTCACTGCCAAAACTGGTCACGTGGGTTTCCCCGGGAGAGGGAAGAGAGACTCAAAAGGAATCTTGGAAAGATGACTCAATTGGCTATTGCACCGCCCAACGGCCGACACCCCCTGAAATCCCCAAAACTCTGGGTGGACTTGAAAATGATCCCACTTACGGGCTCACCACACCCCAGTAAGTGGGTGAGGACAAGGTGCAGAAAAAGGATTGACGGCATCAGGATACACACACATACACACAACCGAAAGGACTGACAACGGTATCTACAGCAGACACCTTCATCCAGTTCACGTGCCAAACAACCCGAAAAGAAAAAGAAAAAAAACATGTTTAGAACACACTTACCTCGAGCTGGCGGCGGATCAGGGACAATACAAGTGCAGCACGTGCCTTCACTTCCACCATCTCAAGAATCTGAGAAAGAAGCACAAAGTCCAAACAAATTCAAGCTCACAATCGGAGAAAAGGAATGTGTGCCTAATTGCTATTATCACCTTAGAACTGCATGGGTTGCCAATAACCGACTTGTGTTTACAGTATAAACTACTGTACTTGCGCATCACCAAAGAAGACTGAAGATATCAACCGTCTGCAATTCTGCATTAATTCTTCCAGAGATCGGGTAATGGGCAAGCATGATACACTAGTCTGAGCAGTAAACATTTTTGGAGCTCCGTCTGGAAAGGTTTTTTTAAAAAATAGGTGTCTGAGATGTCCAGGGATGGTGTCCTCCTACCGGAAGTGTCAAGGCACCCGGACACCAGAGGGCAGGACCCCTGGAGGCACCTGACAGCCACGGAGCTCAAGGCTTGCACCGTGATATTTTCGGCGGAGAAAGAAGTGAAACTAACTGATGACGTTCAGGGCCTGGGGCAGCGCGGAATCCGTCCAGAAGAAATCCTGTGGATCCAGGTAAGCACTGCCGGCCAGTTTGTACGACTCCCTGATCTTGACCTTTGGTCGGTGTGCGAGATGCACTCACAGTTTTCGTAGGGTGAGTACTTGTTCATGTAGTACTGAATGCGGTAAGTAGGACTCGTCCACCTGCCCCTCCCCACCTGGACCTACTAGAAGGGTGGTGGAGATAGGGGCGCTCTGGCGGGGTGTTACGGTACTTGAGGAGTAGTAACACTCAATGGCAGCACAAACTTCAGGCTCCTTAACAACATGACTGTCACAGGTAAACTTTCGTGTCTTCTCTTCAGGTTAAATACTGGCAATAGGAAACGAGAGCAAGAACAAGGAATTATGTACAGCAATGAGCCTATATTTCACCAGAAGAGAAGGCACAGAAGTTTACTTGTGAAAATGCATGTTGTTGAGGAGCCTGAAGTTTGTGCTACTATTGAGTTCTAAAGCTTTTTTTTTGTCTCCAAGGAAACATTTTCAATTCGTAGTACTAAAGATTGCATTTTTGTCTCCTAGAAAGCTATATTAAAATCCTAGGGAAATGTGCGGATTTACAGCATAACTTTGAAACATCGAGTTGGCCTGGGCATCATCATCATCACCATCATTCCGCATTACCTGCCGTTTTTCACCTTCAGATGCCGTTACCACTCCACCGACAACGTCCACCAATCGAGATGCCGGAAGAGAACTCATCATTTGCTGCAGAGGAGAAGTAAAAAAAATGGAAAGTAACCATCACGCTCTAGTTTCCCCAATGTAATGTGCTTGACAGAGCAGATAAGTCTGACACAGGTAATGTGCTTGACAGAGCAGGTAAGTCTGACACGAGTCACATCTAGCGCAAAAGTGGGATCATGGAAAAGTTCGCACCATCGCAAATCAAGATGTGGTTTTTGACCATAAAGAGCTCAACTGATCACAGCCAGGGTTCCAGCACTAAGAACCCTACCTTACCCCACCTTACCCCAGCACGAAGAACACTACATCAAACAGCACTAAGAACCCTACATCAAACAGCACGAAGAACACTACACTACCCCAGCCCAGCAAACTCGCACAACTCGTCTCACCCAGTGCAATCCCATCAGCTCACCTTAATGAGAGCTAGCCGCCTGCTATTCCCGGCGGCAGCAAACATACTCCTGAGAAGCACCCAGCTCCGAGCTAAGAACTCGTCAAACGCCTCTGGGTCGTCCTCGGCAGCCGCAGCAGTTGACACATCTTCGGGAAGTAAAATCAGATCAAAGCATATAGATCTAGTGAGTGAAGGTCTCCAAGACCTGCTAAGCCGTAATGTTATTCGTATACAAACTGCAAAGTACACTCTACTACACACAGGAGCACACCTTGCCAACACAGACTATCAGCATTAAACTAACGTCATGCAGTACCTTGCCGTGCAAAGCCATCGAGCTGCTCAATGTCCCCGACAAGGCGCTGCTTGCTGTGGATAAGGCTCTTCAGACGAAAGCGGCATATACCCTTGACATTGAGAATGCAGTGCGGCTTTGGATGGGATGACACTAAAGTGCGCTTCACCAAAACAACAGTACCAATGTCTCTGCTGTGCTTAGATCCTTCATCGTTGCTCTGCAAAGGTGCATGGAAAGACAAAAGTGCATAATATTATGATATTAAAAAAACAACAGGACCAGGGGTAACGGCGCTCTGCTGACTTGGCAGCTGTAATCATGCCTGAGTAGCTGTGAATAGAGTCATGGCGGCGGGTAACCAATATCTCGACGGGTCATTGGAAGAGTATTGCCATCGTGCCGGAGACAGGTTTGTCAACAGCTGGCGACAGGAGCTGATGGCTCTCGCTGCAATGGCGGAAATGCAGCCCCAGGCCGCCTACGCTGTGCTCACAAAAGGGCTTATCGTCCAAATGGTCCTACCACTTGAGAGCATAGTTGATAGACTCTGTCACCCTGGCACCTTTAGATGAGGTATTGGATCAATTTCTTCCTGCCCTTTTGGGCCAGGGAATGGCAGCTGACAGCTTGCAGAGACAGCTTCTGTCCCTCTCGAGGCGATTCGGGGGCTTGGCAATCCCTATGGTAGCAAAGTCTGCAAAGGCAGAGCATCAGGCATCACTTGCTATCACGGCGCCAATAGTGAACTTGACCGACGCCTACCCAAACGAGAGCGACCGAGACGCCCCAGCCATCAGTCCAGACCAAAATTCGCAAAGCGTCTTGAGTATCGTGGAGGGCATGGCCAGTCCTGTTCTCGAAGCCGTTGGCGAGGCACGAGGCATTGCCCGACAAAAGCGCCAGGGAAAAGTCGGTGGGTGCCGGCAGCAGCAGACAGAGCTTGCCGCAGAGCTTTCACCGGTCCAGCGGCAGCTGCTCGCAGTAGCAGACGAAAAGGGCGTTTCAACATGGTTAAAAGCACAAGCATCCTGGAAAAACTGCACCGTGCTGAAGAAGTTGGATTTCAGAGACGCGCTATGCATACACTATGGTCTGCCACTGGAAAATGTATGCGATCATTGTGTCTGCGGAAAGTCCATGACTACCCACCACGCTCTCACGTGCCCGACCGGCGGCTATCCGTCGGCTCGCCATAATGAGCTTCGGGACCTTCTGGCCGGTGTACTTCAGGAGGTACGGCCCGATGTCGAGATCGAGCCAAGTTTGCTCCCACTACACGGTGAGGACATCTCTGCCACAAGGTCGGGAGCCCCTTTGCAGCATATTGCCGCTGGCTGTGCTGACACGGGCAGAGGTGTGACTTCGCCTTTGCATGCCGGTAGGCCAAAAGCTTTTGTGTTCAATCTTACATTTCAATTGAGTGTTCTATTTATTTCCGAATTTGGGTTGTCTTTTTGCTTCGGTTCTTACTCATCAGGGTTTCACGTGATTGGTGTTGTGAATAAAACCGCTGTCAAGCCGTGAACACACATGAGTAGCCGTGAACACACCTGAGTAGCTGTGAATACACCTGAGTAGCTGTGAACACACCTGAGTAGCTGTGAACACACCTGAGTAGTTGTGAACACACCCGAGTAGCTGTGAACACACCTGAGTAGCTTTGTTCTCAACACGACCGCATACCACCGTACACACCCATAGCAAGTGACAACCCTTTCATCCTGAATGCGCAACGAAGACGTCTTGTCCCAGTCCAACAAGAATGCAGTAAGCAGTGCAGGTACTGGGAATGGACACAAGAGTACTCAACGTCCGTGATCAAACGTGCAGACTTGTGTTTTCACACGGGCCGACAGCGTGAAAACACCGATTGCACAGAGCTTGAACTTGAAACCATTTACCGTATTCTCGCAAATTGGCGCTGTACGTACATGTAAATTAGTGCCATACGAAAATAAGCGCCGCACTTCGAACCTGCAGATTCGTCATATCGCAAGCGCCTTACTTCGAAGTACATGTTTACCGCCGTGACGCGTACCGCCAAGGAGTGCTGGATCTTGAACGTGCGTACATGTATGTCTAGCGTGCACAATTTTGTTTTCAATGTCTATGGTGCGGTGAAATGCCCTTGCTGTACTGTTTTGCTCATCTGCAGCTGCAATTTCGAAGCAATTGTTTGCTACATTACCTGAACGTCAAACCAGATTGACGCTGTACTGTTGGTCACTTGATGATGACACTTACCATGGACTTTACTGGTGCAATTCTGGGCATGCATCTAAGTACCTCCCTAAAATAAGCGCCTCACCGTAATAAGCGCTCTTGCCGCGCCCGAAATGCCTAAGCACCTTGGCGCTAATTCGCAAAAAAAACACAGTACTTCGTACATGATAGTGGACACCCCGTTGCCGGGTAAGATCCCACAGGCAGCTGTCAGCGTACAGTATCGGTAACTTGCCTTCGCCGACGTGCTCGTCACAAGTCCCAGGTAGATGCGGCTCCAGTCTGAGCTGGACCACACGTACTTCTCCAATGTGTTCAACCTAAGTAGATATGCAGCAACAGTAGCAACAGCAGAAGAGTGGCACAGCACACAACACAGCCCCAATCATTTATCACATCGCAGTAAGTGGGTGAATTCAAAAGGAAAGGCAAAAAAATCAACAACGACATGGTATCTGGCTTTCTGCACCGGGTCCAACTTCAGTGATGGCTGTCTACAACGGAGATAATATTTGAGACTGATACTAGAATCTAAGAAAAGAACGAAAGCAATACCGGTACACGAGCTAGTATATACATGGTTGTAAATTCGCTAGCATCATTGATTGATATACACGAGCACGCATGTACGTGCAGACACACACACAAACGCATACCCTATTACATAATGATAATACACGTGTGTCTCTAATACATGCGTAGTCTACATTAGAGGCACAGTCTCTTAATACAAGCATATCCATTTCTCCTCTTGAACATCAAGTGTACACAGGTCCAACATATACAATGTATGTGGTGGCAGCAGCACAGCAGTCGATGAAAAATGGGCTGAAATTAATAATAGTCGCTGAGCACTGGTAGTCGAGTATCTACTAGTATACTGTGTATGGACCCCTTGAAAGTGAATAAGCAGAGGCACCAACAGAAGCGCGCCGTTCCCAATAAAAGCTCGGGGTCAGGGCATTAGAGAAAATTTGATACATGCACATGCACACATACACACACACACAAACCATGTACCATGTATACGCCTGTCGCAAGAGAAGCACGCAAGTTTGCAGTGGATGTGCACCCACGGGTTTTCTCTTATAGCAACGATAGTGGACAAGATCTGAATGAGACAGATCAAGAGTAGCGCCAGATAACTGCCTACTCCACATAATTGGCTCCACAATAGTTGTGTGGAACTCCCGACAGTTGTGGAGCCAGTTGTGTGGATTACCGATTAGGCAGTTATCTGGCGAACACGCAGACACACCCACACAATTTAATCGTTTGCGAACAGCAATCAGCTAACACAAGACCAAATTACTTTGGAGGGTCCACCGTAGTCAATTATTAATCATCGCTCAACTACAATGTCATGTTGTAGTGGATGCACATTCCAATGTTTGTCATTGTATGCTCACCAGCACTACCATGGTCTGAGGCGCTGCAAATCCACAATTCTATCCTTTTATCTCCGAACTTTCGCCCTCCAGTGCAGTGCAGCCTTCATCAGTAAAGTGAGCGTAGATTTTTGCGTATTGTATTAAAGGGGAAGTTAAGGCAAAAATTAAAATTTCACCAGTTGTAGTCTTCGGGGTGCTGAGTCGAATGGTCTTGGTCCGAGGAAGCTGAGACGCTCCCTTCCTACTTGAATCCCAATCGAACTCGCGGACTTCCACCGAAACTGGGTGACTGCGCCCTACGAGATAGGGATTTGTATGCGAAATGTCACTAAAAGCGCCATTTCGTTCTTATAAAAGCACAGATGACCGCGATTGGCCCATATGTTGTAGTCTTTTGGACGCTGAGTCGACTGGTTTTGGTCCGAAAAGGCTGCGATGCAGCGTTCCTCCTTTATTCCCAATCGAACATGGTTGAAGAAGCGGTCACGTGCTCCTGGGTGCCCAAATCACCTGGTCACCACGCCAGCAGGCGACAACTTTCACACCAAGGTTCAACTCGAGTTCAACTCGAGTGACAGGACTGCACCCAAAAAAGGTCAAACAGGCTAGTAAGTTGTACCCTGCAGGCACGGTGACCAGGTGACTGGTGTACGCAGGAGCACGTGACCACTCGTTCGACCATGTTCGATTGGGAATAAAGGAGGAACGCTGCATCGCAGCCTTTTCGGACCAAAACCAGTCGACTCAGCATCCAAACGACTACAACATATGGGCCAGTCGCGGTCATCCGTGCTTTTATAAGAACGAAATGGCGCTTTTAGTGACATTTTGCATACAAACCCCCATCTAGTAGGGCGCAGTCACCCAGTTTCGGTGGAAGTGCGCGAGTTCGATTGGGATTCAAGTAGGAAGGGAGCGTCTCAGCTTCCTCGGACCAAGACCATTCGACTCAGCACCCCGAAGACTACAACTGGTGAAATTTTAATTTTTGCCTTAACCCTTTGTGGACGGACTGTACGAGTTTCGATCTAATAAGATCGAAAGTCTGCAGGCGGTAAAATCTTCGTAACTCCATCGTTTCTTGAGCAAATTCCACAATCGAAGGGTCTACATGGTAGCGGAAACTCCAAGCTGTCCAATGCAACAATCGCCGAAAAGTTACAATGTCGGACGCCAGAGATATCGCACGCCGTATTCTTACCACGGCAAATTCAAATTTTTGATCGATCATTTCGCCATTTTGGGGGAAAATCCCTTTTCGTGTGCTTTTTGAGCGACTGAGCACAACATAATGACGTAGCCGGCAGAAGTTTGGATCGTCTCAAACAGATTTGAGCGTTCTGCGATGAAGGAGAGTGGAATGGCGTTGATGGGACGAATTTGCTTGCATATCAGGCTTTGAGACGACTTTGCTGTGTCACCGCGCCTGATTTGTGGCGGCTGGATAATGGAGATTGGTACCCTGGCGTTGCTCTCGCCAAGAGCTTTCCAATGAGCCCTTGATCGTGAAAATCAAGTGAAGGACACCAAAGTTATGACATGGAAAAGTTGAAAATTGTACTGACATTTTGTAATTCTGGTGCATACTGTGCTAGTAATCCGTCCATAAAGGGTTAACCCTTTATTGGCTGGCCTATACATTGATCGAACACCGATGTTCGATGGGGTAGGCATTTTGAAATTATCATAACTTATTCAAATCTCGGTCTTTCGGAGAGATCTAAATATGTAGGTCGAAGAGAAAACTCTCAGCTGTCGCCTTGAACAATTTTCAAAGTGATACAAAGAGCGGTTCTTGAGTTAAAGCACTCGTAATGTTGGTCCCGGGAAATTTGCGCTCAGGGCGCGATGCGTGGGTCAACGGCCGGGACTTTCCCTGCTTACGTCACCTGTTGACAAGACTACACCGATTCAACTTCAAAAGCAGGTTCCCGGGAGTCTCTACGAAAAATGTTGAGTTTGATACGAGCAACAGGAGTGAAATGGTAGATAAAGATAGATCTCGAGCGTGGGCCCAGCGCTGGTTGGCCTTCCCTGGCTTGCAGCGCTGGGCCAGCGCATCCCGTGGAGTCGAGTGTACGCTCATTGCGCTCCTCTCGCCAAGGCCTTTCCAGGATGCCCAAGATCGTGGAGTTTGTCCAATGCAAACTAAAGTTACGTCCAATTTAGGTACAGGTTTGGCGATTGCGTGGGCTTTTTTGTATTTTAATCGGCCAATAAAGGGTTAACTTCCCCTTTAAATAAATTTTTTATTATTTACTTGGGCATTCCCAACACTGCAACAGACCTTAGATAGATGGTGGTGATATTGTGACTAGGAGGTGATACAGACTACACGTACTAGTGGATGGATCATTTGATATATTCCCTGTCATTTGTTGTTCCACCACTGCAGCGTATGCTCATGGTAAAGTACAGAATTGAGGCTTTGCAATTGAGGAAATGGAAATAAACGCCTTCTCACCCCAGTCCATCTTTGATAGTCAGGCTGAGCGACGAGGCAGGAAGGAGTACACGATCACTAACCAGTAACGGCAATGTCGTTGGAACATTAGCCATCGTGGAGTCCAGCTTGGGCGACTCCTACATGACTTTAGTCATCTGAAATACTGCACTTTGAAAGTTTGAAGCCTTTGCCCGAAACAATTCAGTCATGTCACTGAGAATGCATGCAGGAATCAAAATTAATTCAAAAATTTCTTGAATGACTATAAAAATACGCTCGCTCTCGTCGGGACTCGATCGTGTTCGTAGAATACGTGGCCTAACGTGGACTCGCACGTGGAGCCACTGCTCACGTGGACAGCTAGCTAGTACGGTACTAGGCACATTATAGCAATAAAAACTGCTTTATGGCAGTTTTCTAAAAAAAGTTATTGTGTTCTAGTCCATGGACCCCGTCTAAAAAGTAAGAAATTAACGAAATGTGATAGCTGAAAATTAAAATTTCACACAAAACCTCACAATAATCACAACACTTGAAATGCTGCTTTCAACCAGGGAGTAGTACAATACTACTCCCTGCTTTCAACACTAAACTTGTACTGCACCAACAATTGGCAACATGCATGCATAGGAAAGAGGATCGCGAGGGGAAGAGGTCTTCTGCATGTAGCTTTTCATTCTGTGTGTGATTATTGTGAGGTTTTGTGTGAAATTTTAATTTTCAGCTATCACATTTCGTTAATTTCTTACTTTTTAGACGGGGTCCATGGACTAGAACACAATAACTTTTTTTAGAAAACTGCCATAAAGCAGTTTTTATTGCTATAATTTCTTTTGTTTTTTCTGTCACCAATCAATGGAATGCCCTATATCAATATGTAAATGATGGCCTTCACATCATATCAATACCATATTATACGCATTGATGTGCAAGCCTTTTCTTGCAGAAAATGGCACTAGCATAATGCATGTTCTTCTGCGGGTAAACATGTGAGCATGCAGTGGTGGTTATACTTTTTTTATACGGAGGTCATTCTGTGCATGTTGCTGTTGCAGAATTTCATGACTCTGTCATAAAATTGTCTTGCCTTTCAGATATTTCAGATTTCTCCACCCTCAATCAGATTTATTTGAGAAATGTAGCCATGCGGCAGGTGCGTGTCGCAAATGTTTTTGTTGATTCTGTGTTTATAATGGTTTATAGTCATGGGTTATCGTGATAAGGTCATCCAGCATCATGTTGAAACTGAAATCGTAATCCTGTTGATGTCGATACAACTTTTGGAAGTAGTTCAATGACTTCAAACTGTTAGTCCACGATTGTCTAAAACAACACAGCAAAGGAGGAACAATAAACATGTATTAAAATGTAAACGAATACATTGCTGAGTCCAAAACCTCGTTCCAACAACTACACTGATCCTGAGGAGAAAAGGTACAAGGCTATGGTTGGAGGTACTGAGAGATAAACAAGGCACTCCACAATAATAAAATCTTACACATCTTTTGGTGAGTATGAATGATATCCAGTCGAACCTCTTTAGGACGAACACCAAGGGACCGATGGTATTTATTCTGTGAGCTTAACCTATTTTATAACCGGAGAATACAATTATATCTCCAATAGACATACGAATAGATTTCTTCTACGGCGAAAGATTCTAAGCCACACCAACTCATTGCCTCGTCTCGTATGAAACAATTGAGTCACTAGGGAGATTCTGCAAAACGAAAATGCGTACAAACTTTCGCTCTACATCATGAAGTGCGAAACTTCGCACCTTTGGACGCGAAACTTGCAGGGAACGCGAAATGAACTGTCGTAGGAAATTTCGTGAGGTCGGGTCATGGCGTAAGTGCACTTGGCCCGCGCAAACTACGAAAATGTGCAGAACGCAAAGTTCGTGCAAAAATTCGCACACACTTTCGCAAGGACTGTCGCGAAACTTCGTTCGAATTTTCGTTTTGCAGAACCTCTCTACTGAACCTTTCTTTAGCAACATGACGGCAACTCAAACAGCAACAGAGAAAGTACGATACATGTACTCCACATTCTTACAGGTACTACAAACAGATTGCAGATCGTAATTCTTGCTTTGGCGGCACGAAACTTTATTTGAGGCAGTGCAATCTCGGCGGTACTCACAAATCAAACAGCCCAGACTTGAGTAAACAAATCCAATCATACAAGTACGAGATTTTCACGAGACGAGACTGCACCCATTGGCTTGTTTCGTATGAAACAAACAAGTTACTGAACCTCTCCACAATAGAGATTTCCCCTGATATGCGAATTTATTTTGCAAACTCGGTCAATTGGTACTTGAACCTTTCCCTCCAGATTGGGAACTGCCAACGATAGTATGCCACTGACCAGTGCCTTACTTGTAACGTACCAATGTACAATGAATATGAGTATTTCGACAACACATCTAACATAAGCCTTACCGTCAAGAAGTTGAACTCGCGTTCTTCGCACACTGCAGACAAGGGCAAAGAGATAAAAATGGATCTAAATCCGAATAAAATCAGCACACGTTTCCGTAAATGAAAGGTGAACATAAGCAAATGAATTGAAGGAAACCGGTCAACTTAGAGATCACCTGTCATCGAGTATTCCGTAAAAGGAGGCCTCGCAGCTCGGCAGCAGAAAAGCAAAATTTAGAAAAGAGATCCTGTCAACTTTTCCATTATTTATTGCATTCCGCCCCAAAATCAGCACACTTTTCCTGAATGAAAGAGTCAACACAAGCAAATGAATCAAAGGCAACTGGTCAACTCACCTGTCATTGAGTAATATTCCGCGAAAGGAGGTCTCAGCAGCGCCGAAACGAAATAAGCCAGGCCATGAGACGAAATATCCGAAACAGCTCATGCATGCAAGAAGCAGTTCCAAAGAAGGAAGTTCCTCGCGCATGCACATCCGAACACGGATCCGCGGACTGCATGCACTGAACACAATGTCTGCCGTGCACGTGCACAGCACACGGCTACCACGCGTTGGTAGATCTAATACCGAGCACCTTACGTAGAGACTTACGTAGCCTAAGTGAAATACCGAGCACCTTACGTAGAAACTTACGTAGCATAGCGGTGTCGTTTTTTCTGCCATGTGAACCAGGGAGTCGTATAGACCCGGGAGGCGACACGCGCATCACTTGTGCACAACCATGATCGACTCAACGATTCAAAATATTACGACCTGCTCGGTGTGGGACAAGTCCGTACATAGGTCATAGCGCGCGGGAAATCCGTACATAGCGAGACATCGTCGTCTTCGTCCTTTCGCCGAACAATTGTGGTCAGACTTTCGATCTCCATTGCCGAATTACAGCCATCTGTGGCCAACGCTGAGTGTAGTGGGTAGCCGAGTAGTCGGATGGAGGCACACACACAAGAAGACTGACTAATATTATATTCTCCGGCTCAATCTGCCTGAAGTTATGTTTACAACTGCTCCGGCTCAATCTGCCTGGAGGGACACTGAACGGAATATAACTGCTCCGGCTCAATCTGCCAGGAGGGACTCTGTTCTGTTCTGCTCTAAACTAAAACTGATCTCTGGTAGAGCAGATAGGGCTTATATAGCATAGACAGCATATACATGGCAAGGGGAGAAATAGTAGTGCAAGGAGAAGACGTACAAGGAGATAACGTGAAAGGAATAGGTAGGAGGAAGAATGGACCTAAGTAGCGAGCAACCATTAGGTAACAGGAATGCAATCTAACAGTATGAAGGAAACAAATGTGAATGGCAGGCAGGGTAATTGGGCGTGAAGGTTACTAAGAGGACAGCGGTTGGAAACGCCATTTGACTGTGTGCGAGCTAGGACATGGATTCTGGGAAGACATCTGGCGGAAGAAGAGAAGCGGAAGATATCTTAGAACTAGTAATCAAAAGAGTTAGTGATGAGGAACGGGCTATAGGAATCAATGTAATGTAGTACAGCATGAATGTGTGCAACATGTATACAGGTCATGCCGTACCGGTCTGCAGGCAGGGTTGTCTAGTAGTCCTACTTCAAAGTATTAAAGTGGTTGCTGGGAGAAGCACTTAGGAGTAACCGGTGGGACAAGAGTTGGTTATAAGTAGGGCCAGGGATACTACACCCTCCCTACCTATTTTTCATCACGTCCTCGTGATGTATACTTAGACTTAGTATCGGTTAGGCGGCTGAATATGTAGGCGATTTCGTAGGTTGTACGGATGGGCTTGAGCAATAGGAGGAGGAGGAGCAGCTGGTGGAGGGACAACAGCGGGATCAATGTGGACATCAGCATCATAGGATACGGGAGACGGAGGCGGTGCTCGTAGTTGAACATATGGTTTTAGTCGGTTGACGTGGACCACAATAGCAGTGCGAGAGGCGGTATCTTGTTTCCGAATACGTACTGTCACTTCATCAATCACACTTGTAATGATGTACGGACCAGTCCAGAACTTGTGGAACTTCGGTGACGAATGCGTGGGGACAACAGGGGAGTGGAGAAGCACTAGGTCGGATTTCTGAAACCTGGGTGAAGGGCGAGACGTACCATCATACTGTTTCTTCTGCAGGCGGTGGGCAGTGATTCCATGTTGACGAGCACGCGTAAAAGCATTCGTGGTAATGGTGTGTCGGGACTGAACATACTCATGATAGGAGGACGGTGGAGTATCACGGGGTCGACCATAGACCAAGTCGAGTGGGAGAACAGCTTCATGTCCGAATTGGATGAGGAACGGAGTGTAACCTGTTGATGCATGAACACTGGTGCGATAAGCTAACGCTGTATGTTGGAGGTGGAGGTCCCAGTCGCGGTGGTCGGAGATAGATGTGGCAATCATGGCTTCGAGTGTGCGGTTGAATCTTTCCACCATGCCATCACTTTGAGGGTGGTATGCAGTGGTTCGAGTTTTGGTAACATCCATCATGCGACACAAATCTTTAAACAGATTGCTCTCGAATTGTGGACCTTGATCGGAATGCAGGGCAGCAGGGGCACCGTAGCGACATATCCAACCGTCAAAGAGTAATCGAGCAACGGTGGATGCAAGCATGTTTGGCATAGGAAAAATTTCCACCCACTTGGAAAAGTAATCCATGATAACTAAGACATACCGGTTGCCACGATCCGTAATTGGAAGCGGACCCATGATGTCTATAGCGATGCGCTGGTTGGGATAGGATGACGGCTGAGAGTGCATGGGCGCTTTGGGCTTGCGGTGGGGACCTTTC